TAGTGGGAATTTATAGCTTTAATTGCTTACATTAGAAAGAAGAATAGCTAAACATTAATGAACTAAGCACCCAACTTATAGTTAGGAAAGAATAATAAAATAATTGTAAGAAAGTAGAAATAAACACACATGTACACACCACAAGTAAGAATATCAACTACATCAAAAGTTGCTTTTTCATAAAGACCAAGTGTTGGAAAGCTTTTTCTATAAAAAGTCAGATAGTAAATATTTTAAGCTTTACAAGCTAAATAGTCTATGTTACAACTACTCAACACTGACATCTTGCTCAAAAGCACCCACAGACAATACATAAATAGGCAGGCTGTGTCCCAGTCAAAATAAATCTGCAAAATCAGGAGGCAGGCAAGATCTGACCCACTGGCACTAACCTATCTCTTAAAAGATTAATGAAGTTGACAAACCTCTGGCAAGATTGTTCAGGGAAAATAAGAGATAAATGTACACAGTATTAGGTCTTAAAAACTAAACAACTTTATACCAGTAAGTTTGAAATTTAGATGAAATGGACATATTCTTATGTGTCTTACCAAAATGTGATTTACCAAAGTGACTCAAGAAAAAACAGACTACCCTAATAGCCCTATAATCCACTTTCAAAAATTATCAGAAGGAAATGCCTAACATTTCAAGTATTAAATGCTGAAATCTACCTATTCTAAGCTAAGAGCTCAGAATAAAAGCATCATAACTTACTTATAATGGTTCAGGTCTATGAGGTTCCCAAATTTAGCATTCTTCCTCTCTGAAAACTAAGATTTTTGGACTTCTCTGAAATACTCAGCTTTGAGTTCTCAACACAACAGTGGAAACGGACCTAAACTTGGCATCATCATTTATTCTATGGGCCTATGTCCTTAACTTGGTAACCTGCTTAGCACTCCAGTTCATGTAGAATTTCCACTGGGTCTACAACTTTCCCATTGACTTTACATTCCCCACTTCCCCTTCCTATATTTGAGTTCCAGAGCTCTTTCACTGGAAGTTGCTATCTGCTGACAAATATTCTATAATACCAAGTTGTCTACCTGCTTGTATTTCTGAATTTTACAAGTTCCTACATTCTCCACTCTCAACTTTAGTTTATCTCTCCTTGTCTATTCATTGATTTACAACCTGACACATGCTGCTTGCCTAGTTTACCACATGGTCTACTAACACACCGTTGGATTATTAGATGGAACATTCTGCCTGCCTGGACTTCTTTCTAGCTCTGCTTCTGTTTGTCCCTTAGCATCTACACCACACCAACAACTAATGTGACTCTAGGACTTAGCCCCTCGCACTATCATTATGGTCTGACTCCTAAAAACGAGGCCATACCTAGCCAGGTCCTAAGCCATCACTGATTCTTTGGCTTAAAAAAAAAAGTGTTTATATAACAAAGATTCATTCCATAAATCTTTACCATATGATGTACAGTGGATTTGGAAGCAAGTATAAAAATGCATACCAGAAGGAATGTTGTGTACTTATAAGACCTGAAGCATTTTTTTCAGGTGTAGACAACTTCCTGATTTTTACCCACTGGTGACCTATATACAGCTCTATGTCTTGAAAGACAGAGAACAGTGTCCACAGGGTTTATATGAGGAAAACTCTTGAGAAAGACTACCATCAGTGAATTAAGAGTAAGTCATACATTTACTTATTTGAAAACTGAAGACAAACTAATAGCAGACTTTAATCTTAGGAATTTAGAAAAACTTAAATATCTTTCATTTTAAATAATCAAGAGAAAAAGTGTGAAATCATCATAATGTCTAAAAGGTACACTGTATAGTACCTTCTTTCTTTTAATTCCCTCATGATTTCATAATATCCATCAGGCTGTTGGATGGTACTAGTTTGAAGAAAGCATCCTGATTCATACCCTTCTAAACTATGTTATTGGATCACATACAACTGAGTTATAAGTAACAAATGGTCTAAGTTAAATTTCAAAAAACACAAGCCACATTTTTCCAAAGTCCCCACCCCCTCATCTCAGCCTACCAGCATTCATTCTGAGTGTTCCCTTATTTTGGGAAATCCACAATGGTCTCACTACTTATATATCATCTGTACCTACTTATTGAAAGCAGCAAAGAACTCCTTAGCAAAAGCCAAGTGTGAACTATTTGTTTTGGATTCTTTTTAAGTAGGTTAGTTAGGATTTAAAACAAAAAAGTGAGGTTGACTAAGTTTATTAAAGTCCTCTCTTTAACATACTTTTACTTTGATAAAAATAGGGGTGTTTTTTTACTCTGTTTCATCTACTATGTTATAAAACATATATGAAAAATAAAGCGTAGAACTAAAACTGTCAATAGGAAATGAAAGTTAAAAGTGATCTATATTATAATGCTAAGTGTATTTTTCTAGATCTACATACAAATTCTTGTTAGTTACTATACGGCAACAATAATACATAACAGTTGCTAAAGAATATGCCCAAATAGGTCAAATCACAGATTCACTATGATTAAGGAATTTTGCTAACCAATTCTCTGATCTTAAGCTCTAGCATCCATTTTTATACAAAATCATTTATGTAATAATAAGAAAATAAAGTTGCTGAAAACAAGATTAATATACAAAAATCAGCCAGTGATAGTGACTTTTAAAATGTGGGAAAATTTTTCATTTACAATTACATCCCTTTTATAGATCCTATATAAACAAAATAAACTTAAATATGTAAAACACAGACATTTAATATAAATATATATAATACAAAGTATATACTCTAACAAGAAATAAGCAAAACCTATATAAATAACTATAAAATTACTGAAGAATATAAAAGCTCTAAATAAGTAAATACATATACTATATTACTGTATAAGAGTTTTCATTATTGTAAATATGTCAATTTTCTCCAAAGTAATCTGTATGTTTAAGGCATTTCTAATCAAAATACCCACAAAAACTTCTGGGAAATTTGCAAATGCATTAGAAATTTCATTTGGAAGGAAAAATGCATAATATTCCATAAAAAAACAGACACTGAAAAATAAGACAATTGAAGAGGTAGCATGCTTTTCCAGATACCAAAATGTATTATTTAGCTACAGTAACTTTATAAAGTAACTATACTTTTGAATGAATAGAGACTTAGACTACTGAATCATACAGGACAAGAGCAATAGATAATACTATATAAAATAAAACTTCCACACAGCAAAACAGTGTGAAAGGTCAAAGGACAAATGATAACCTGGGAAAATGTTTACAATATACAACAAAAGGTTAGATGTACTTAAAATATAAAAAGTTCTTATCAATCAATTTTTTTAAGGCTAAGACAACCCCCACAGAGGATATGAACACAAACTTGAAAGTCTGTTAAATATCTGAAAAGATACTCATGCTCATTAAGGAAAGTAAATCTGAGCAGTTAAAACTGTTCATCTTTATACTGGCAAAGATTAAAAAGAATGATAAACAGTATTAGCAAGAGTGTGGAGAAAGGGAGACATGCATATAGTGACAGTGAATGCAGAAATTGTTGCAGTTTTTTAGCAGGCAATTTAGCAGCACCCACTAAAACATGAAATCTATGTACCCTTTGACCTGATCTCATTATTTTACATGTTGGAAAATGTTCTAAGAAAAACATGTACAAATGTACAAATGTAGATTTATGTGTATAATGTTCACATACCACCATATACAATATCGAAAAAATGGAAAACAACCTAAAAGACATCAGAAAGTGAATAGTTAAGATAAATAATTCAAAATACTCATACTACAGAATACAATGCAACCCATAAATAATAAGGTAGGACTGTGTGTACTCACTTGTAAAGATTCTAATAGTATATGGTACTATGAGAGTACTATTTAGAAAAAAGAGGAATTTGGAGAACAGTGTGCAAAATATGATCCATACTTGTACATATAAATAAAAATATATGAAAGTTACATATTCAATTACTTTATATCCTTTTGCAATGATTAACTATCTTTACAATTAGTAAGTACTCTTTTTCATGTTAAAATACAAGTACATGGGGGTAAGTTCTGATGTTTCTAACATGAAATACTGCATTCAACTGAACATTTTCTTAGAGGACTTTCTTCTAAAGGATAAATGACCATAAAAATATTTACCTATGAAATAGCTTTTTTAATTTTTGAAAATTAATGCATTTATTTTCTAAGTATTTACCGGTGTACATTAGACTCTGTAGATGTAAAAATTAATGAGACATTATCTCTGCTTTGAAGAAACCCAAAGTATATTGTAAGGGCAGACCAGCATACAAGTAAGTGCAATAAAGTGTTGAAGCTAGTGTGACCACAATGTACAGATGGAAATGAAAAAGAAAGGTCATTCCAATTGGGGGAAAACATTATCACAGAGGACTTAAGCTTATGCTTGAGCTAAATCTTAAATAGGAGATGCTGAGCAGATGGAGAAGAGGAGAAAGGGCGTAAATGCAAAGAAAGAAACAAATATGCATTCCTCTACTTAAGAATTATTTCTACAAAGATAAGAATTTTTAGGGCTGAATGTCAAACCAAAACAATATTCAAAGACACAATAATTCTTCTAATATTCATCTATTATAATTTGGGTCTTCCATGCTAGCTGAAAATTACGGTCTGGTTATTTTTTATAAACCTTTTTTTCTAAAAAAGCCTACAAAAGTGTTTTTTAAATAATACTTAAAATCCTACTTTATTTCTTACTTAAAAAAGCAAATTGCCTTCTAAAAGCAAAGACTTCATGTTTTCACTGCTTATATTTTGATACTATTCTAAAAGTCACCCTAAACTGTAGTTCCAAAGCTCAACGTGTTTGAGATTAACACAAAAATACCCTAACACAATAAATATGGTCTATTTTCACAGAAGAGCTATATTTTTCTAACACCTAAGTATTTTTGACCTTACTTTCCCGGAGTGTAGCTCCTTCATTGCAAACTATTAACTTATCTCTAAGAAACACAACAGGCCACATACATACAGAGAAAAATGTGGGCTTTTACCTCATGAAGCGTGAGGTGTTTCCCATCCTTTCTCTTTGAGTCAAATCTGCCATATATTGCACTATATTTTCGAATTTCCTCCTCTTTATGTGGATCATCATCACTCATTTCAAAGATGTGACCAATCATTTTGGCCAACTTCTTGTTGGTTTTTAGCAGCTCTTTCACTTCATTCAAGTCACTTTTTGGCAGTGTGGGGGCCATTCGCTCCACACACTCAGCTACAGAGAGTGCGGCTGCAGCATCCAGCGCCTCACTGCTTTCCTTTGGGGACGCTGGGGAGCCCAGGTCTGCCGGGGAGAGACTGTGCTCACTCTCAGTGGCATGGTGGCCTTGCCAGAGTCTGGATTCACCAATACTCTGCAGTGCTAAGCTCCCTACCACATCTGACTTGCCCTGTCCTAAGCTCTGCACACAGGTGGTGGCAGCGCACTTGGGGATTTTTAAATGAGGTTCCCGGGCATTGCTATTCCTTTCATAACTGCTGCAGGATATTCCCAGCCACGTTGGTGATCCCTCTGGTAATTTATAGATGGGTATACTACTGACAGGCAGGGAAGTCAGAGGCTGATTGAAAAGGCCAGGGTTCGTAACCCAGTCTCTCAAAGCCTTCTGTAGCCTTCTAACATGAAGGGGCTTGCTAGCCATGCCCACAAGTGCCATGATTTCCAAGAATTCCTCTTCTCCAGCTTCACAGAGTTGCTGTACATCATCACCACCTTGTTGGATAAAGGCATCAAAATAAGAAAGCAGATTGGCCTTTTGTAATATTCTATACAGCTGCAACTCTCCCAAGGTCCTGGGTAAGGCAGCAGCCATTACTGTGGATGGGCTCAACCTGCAGAAAAAAGAGAGGAAATAAATACTCATCAAATTTGAGCCTATTGGTTAGACGTACATGATTTAAGAACGCAGTAGGGGAAGAACAAAAACAAGGAACATTTACCTAGCAACTGACTATTAAGGAAGCATTTTTGTTACCACATTTTACTTTCCTATCAATCCTAATGGTAGATATGATTGTTCCCCTCTTAAAGAGAAAAATATAAAGGCACAAAGAATGTAAGTAATTTGCCTGTGATCTCATAACTAGTTAAGCAGGAGTCTAGCAACTCAAACCAAGGGACACAGGGCTCTATATTCCATATTTCTGACTACTTTGCTACTTCCTGGTGTGGACACAAAGGTGAAATGTAATTAAATTCAGGAGGCAAGAAGTATGCTTTCATTTGCCAAATGCTTATTTTGTATCAGACAATATGATGAACAGTATATATGTCTACAGACAGTCTCCAACTTACATGGTTCAACTTTGCAAGGGTGTGAAAGCAATATGCATTCAGTAGAAACTGTGCTTCATCTTTTCCTGGACTAGCAATATGCAGTACAATACTCTCATGATGCTGGGCAGCCACAGGGAGCCACAGTTCCCAGTAAGCCACATGATCACAAGGGTAAACAACTGATAGATTCATAACCAATCTGCACCCATAGGAGAATTCTGTTTTTCACTCTCAGTACCATATTCGATAAATTACATGAGATTTCAACAATTTATTATAAAATAGACTTTGTATTAGATGATTTTGCCCAACTGTGGGCTAATTTAAGTGTTCTGAGCACATTTCAGGTAGGTTAGGGTAAGCTATAATGTTTGGTAAGTTGGGTGTATTAAACCCATTTTTGACTTACGCTACTTTCAAATTTATAATGGGTTTATCAGGATATAACACATCATAAGGAAGATCTGTAACCCTCACAACAGCCCTGTGAAACAGGTATAGTAATTTCCATTTCATAAAGAAAAGTCAGCAAGATTAGTCTGGTAGACAGAGGAAGATAGATTTGAGTATGAATTGGAGGTAAGAATACAGAATGTGATACATTTAGGAACTGAGAAAAAAAGAGGCAGAAAAAATTCAAACAAGTAAACGACCAGGATTTGGTGATCACTTAGGTGTAAGTGATGAAGGAAAGGGAACAGTTACCAATTTTTGACACTTTCTATGGTTCCAAGAAAAGAAGAGTAATAGATGACTATGGGATTATGTTATGAGAATTAGAGCTGCAACAGGCATTGGGGATACAGAAAAATAAGGATGATGGGATTCCCTTTCAAATACACAGCACTTGAACTGCCTTGTGTAAAATAACAGACTACAGTTGAAATGTGTAAAGGTTGAAGATGAAGAGGGTGAGAAAGCCCTCCAAAGCAGCAGCAGAGAGCCTAAGGAAGAAACATACTTTTAGAGCCCAATCAAGACAGTGAAGCCTGTATTTAAGAGAAAGAACAAGACCTGGCAAAGTATTTCCTGACCTCTTAGCAGCCTTTAAAAATTATTCACAGTTGCCTGGAGACCTCCCACATACAAGGAGTTGGCCAAGTACTTCTACTTAAAAGAAACCAACAAACGTGTAGTAAGTGCAGCCTTAGGATTAAAAGAACCCTGTAGATATCCATGGAGAGAAATTACAGAAGGCTCAAAGAATACCTAAATCAAGAAAATGGAGGATACACTCTCAACTCAAAATAGTATGAAGTAATTGTTGGCTGGGAGATAAGGCAAGCAAGGGAAAATCAGGAACATCCCTGAAGGCCAAGAGGTCACCCAATCTGGGACTTTTGCTTTAAGACATCAACTAGAATTTTAGTCTGTCATCCCATCCAAGGGAAATGCATCTTCCTGTTACTCTGAGGACTGACTCCTGGTCGGCTCCACCTCCTGGAACCTTTGTGACATCCACACTCTGCTCTGATCACCTAGTGATCTCCTTCAATTTTATGGCTCTTTATTTTATAAGGACATTGCCAAATGACCTGATGACTGCCCAGGAGACATAAAAAAGATTAAACTGAGACCCAGTAACTTGTGTTAATACCCAGGAAACCACACGGGGGCCTTTTGAAAAATACAATTCCCAGGTCCCTGAGTTGCATCTCAGGAAAACTCCCATGACTTGACAAATATGGCAAATTACACTAGAAGATCCCTATTTGATATACCCGCTGAGCACCACAAACTCCTACATGTTCTGTGATCATCTAGATTCTTTAAACCCACCTTCGTGGTTCATGCCACCTCAGCCCTCTGGATAAAAACATTCTTGTACCTTAGGATTCACCCACAGGAGAATCTGCTTGTCCTCCCACAGCAGGGGGGACTCTCCAGGGAGAGTCTATCATCCAGCTAGACACTAACCCACAAAAACAGACCTTTCAGGATTTATAGACACAAGTTAAAGTCTGTATCGAACTAAATTACACCAAACAGAAGAGCTTCTAGAAGATGTCTGAGGTAGAAGGAACCTTACTTTCCCATCATACACTTAATGTAAACAGCTCCACAAACTTTCAACTCAATATACAAAAAAATACACATGCACACATATAAATACATGTGTGTGTACAAACAAAAAAAATTTTTTATGAGGACTGTAACCTTGCAAAATTTAAGGTGTTATCAATTATCTCACTATATAGGCTCCCTCAAATTATGAAATATGGGAAGACTAGTGAGAAAATCTAGAATTTCTGAATCTTTTTATGAGTAATAAGAAAATATATATGTTAAATAAATATAAAAGAGAAACTTAAGAAAAGGAGACCAGAAGACCCAAACTTAAATTTTATTCTTCGGAGACAAGGTAGCGATTTAGAAAATATTAACTTAAAACTTTTATCTTTTCTCATCTTTACCCAAGAATTAAAGGAAACCCCCTAGTTCCTAAGAGAAAATGCTTATGTACTGGTAACAAAGTAGTTATGATTATATTATCTCCAAAAGGACTGATGGGCCACTAGTACATTTCCAAAGTCAAGATACCAGATGAAAGTTAAGTAAGTGAACTATTTATAAAGTCCCAGGAGGCTTCCTAAAGGCCCACACTTACTGCTGGGAAAGGAGCTTTCTCCCTAAGATTTTGCTTTAGGATAATGTTTCAGTTTCCTACAAAAGCCTGTTGTAATAATTTGAACACTTACACCTCTTACATAATTTGATTTGATTTAAAGAATAATTTTCTTAAGATGAGATTGTTTTTACAACCTCTGTATCTACTCATGCTTCAGTGTGAAGTTCAAACAAATCAAGAGAAAGCATCTATCTGCATAGCTCCAACCTGAAGTAAATATAAAAGGTTCCTAACACACATACAGTATATACCAATATATACAGGTACCTAGTAGTACAGTGAATCTGTTCAGCTGAAAACTGCTACCTGGCCTTTTCAAGATGTGCTGGAACAACCATGCAGTCTGACCTTTTTATGAATTCCACAGTTAAGAGAAACCAGTTACTCATTTTTTACTGCATTCAAAAGCTAAACCGATGGCCTATGTACAGTAAACTCCCTCTTATCACCAGTTTAAATGTTCCTCAGCCTGGTCAGTTCAAGAGGAAGAGGAATTAAACAATGGATCCCTTTAAGGCCATTTGTTGTGTGTTTTTCATCAATCTATCTTAAGTGGTAATGAGTTGTTCCAGAACTTTTAAAAAAAGCTCACTTTGGCTTCTTATGGGTAGGATCAGTTAGTTATCTGCCAAACTATGCTCAGTGAATTAGTTTGATTCAGAAAATTTACTGGTCAACTCTTTCCTCACCCCAGAAACACAACGAAGCACTTGAAATGACTATGGGAAACAACTTCCCTGACATTCTCTAAGCTGGCATGTGGGGACTTAGCGTAGGACAAAGGTCTTCAGTAGTCACTAAGGAAAAAACCATTCCTTCAGACCTGCCTCAATCCATTCCAAGAAGATTCAGCCTACCTTCTGGCCCCATGGCTCTAACAACACTCGAGTAACTGAGTCATCACCAGCCTCCCTCGCTGTCCTCTCTGCAGTCTGACAACACTCCCTGGAATGCTCTTACCTGACTTTGGTACCGTCATATGATGCCGTCTTCCCCACCTTCCCTTACTACAGTCAAAGTGCAAAAATTCTCCTAAGTTTCATATTAGATGTCTTTTCCATATTCTCCTTGATGATCTCATCCACTCCCAACCTTCAATTACCACCTATAGCAGCCTGTAGTCATAACTGTGGCTATCTGTAGCTTGGACCAGTAGTTCATGGGCCAGGGACCCATAGAGCTACTGAAAAGTGTTTTCAAATGCAAATGAACACCAAGTACTGGCTACTGAGTAAAACAGATGCTTCTTACACATGTCTACTTTGCAAATAACAGTATATAAACATTTTGACTTAATAAATATAAACTCATTAACAGTGGAATTCATAGCAGTTGTCATTCTATGTATTCTCAAACAACAAATACAATGTTAATGAATATTTGCAATTTTTAAATTTAAAAAGTGATATTCATACCTGAAAAGTTTGAGAACCATCAGCCCAAATCATTACTCTGATAACTTAGCATTTCAACTACCACCTGAGTACTGTCAAAATCTCAAATTTGGTTAAGTCCAAAAACAAGTGTGTTATCCCATTTTCCTTCCTTCTTCCAGATTCCCATGTCTACTCTTTCCAACTCTCTTCTGTTTCCTGGATTAATAAAAGTAGGGGTTTTATCTTTATTTTCTTCTTCCTTCCTCAAATCTACATGTCCTTAGGCTACATCACACCACACTTTTTCTTTCTCTGCTTCAAAAACACCTAATTCTAGTTTTCAGTTTCTTGCCCCAACTTTTAAAACAGCTTCCTCACCTTCAATACATCCCAAACTGCACTGCTAATTTTTTCTTCCTCAAGTAAAGGTATGGCTCTTTACACACCTGTGCAAATTTCCCCCCATTGCACACAGAAAGAAATTCAAACTACTTATAGAGGTATCCCAGGCCCAAACCTTCTTTTCCAGCCTTCTCTCCCGTTCCTAACATGCCCCTAAGTTCTTGCGAGATACAATGGGCATTCCTCAAGTGTGCCTCCCACTGTGCCAGGCATACTCACTCCTTCACTTTTATGGCCTTCTCCATAAGTCCTTTCCCAGACCCCCTGGCTGTAGATGTCTTCTCCCTTCTCTGAACCCCACGATAATTTTTCTCTCATTTTTTTTCTGTTTTTCAGATATGTCAGTTACTGAGCCAGTCCTGAAGGTACAGAGCAAAGACGGTCCTTCGTGCAGAATCAGTTAAGAAGAAGAATCAGTTTAACAGACAAGTAAGGGGACATATACACACTGTGATTATACCTCAGGAGCTGAGTGTTATACCTACGGACACAGAACACAGAAGCAGCCTTACCTGGCTCTGCAGAACAGGTTACCATTAGGTGATAAGCTCCCCAAGGGTAGCATCTAAAGTCATTTTTTATCCCCCTCTATTCCTGAAAAAGTGTTCAGTGTAGAGGTAACATTCTCTATAAAGGCTGTTGAATGAAACCTATTTGAGAATCTGTTCAGGAGCCTCCTCTCATGTTCCAAAAGGGACACTCTCTACTACACATCCTGCTACTTTACCTATGATCCTTTTCATTCTCTCACTCTCCATACTTCCTTCTTATAAGGCTATATGGCAGATTCCTATTAAATGGCTATTTTTTCCAAAATATCAAAGGATGCTCTCCCAAATACAGGAACTACACGAGGTTAGTGTTATACACATAATGTGTTAGTCTAGCCCCAATATCAGCATTTTAAGACATCAATTTCAGTCTGAGAGATCCTAGGTCTTTTTCCTCTATAAATTAAAATGCAGTATGAGTTATCTCCAAACTATCAATCTTATAAATGATCAATATATTCAAATGATTCATAGTCACTACTCTTAAATCCTCTTTATTATGTAGGAAAAAAATGTATATGTATGTGCAAATACATACTTATATATAGTATGTGGGTATACACATACTTCTACGAAATCTATGGCATTCCAAAGAGCGACTCTTCTGGAGAGAGGGAGAAACCAAGGGTGAAATCCCAGTAAGATCTTATTTATGCAGAGGACTATAAATTCCTTCCTCCCAATAGAGCCTGAAATTTTTACTTTAAAATTATCTAAGTTAACAGCAATCTCTTACAGACTTATAAAAATGTGAAAAAACTTGGGAAGAGTGAGTTTATGAGTCATTTACAGATTAAGGTGAATTAGTTTCACCAGATTATTTTCCTCTTAACATCTAGACGAGATCCGGTGCACACTAAGGGAATAAAAGATGCGGATGGGAAATGGCGAGAAAGGAAATCTGAGGGCAGACTACATTTAAAGCCTCTGATGTACTGCTAAATTTGGGAGAGTGTAACTTGAAGGTTTAGGAACCTGGTGAAAAAGGTGTAATGGTACATTACAGGTTAAAACTTAAAAGGTTTATGAAAGTCCAGAATTTGGCTTAGGGAAGGATGAGCCTTAAGCCTAGGAAATGAATTCTCACTTTGTCCTAGTCTAGGACTCAGGCTAAAACAATTAAATGTAGTTCAGTTACATCATGGGTTACTTAAGATTGCAGGGTTAGACTAGGTACTGAACTCCTATGTGTGTTTCAAAACCCAATTTCTCTAGGCACATTAGTAAGCATTCAGTGAAATATCTTAAGAAATTTTTGCATCTTATTACTGTCATGCTATGAATTATATACTTCCTAATGGATTAACAGTAATTTGGGAAGACTTAAATGTTCTCTCTTATTGATTTCTTTCTGAATTCTGAATGAAGCTAGAAAAAAAATTTCTTACAGATCTCTTCATATTTTACTAAAAGTATTCAATGTGTAAGCTTAAACTTATCAAAATTAGAAAAATCATTTTGTAATTAAACAGTAACTGCATTAACTATAACTTCAATAGTATTTCATACAAAGAGCTAGAAATTCTTCAATCAACTAAGTCAATTCATTCAACAAAGTGCTCTGTTAGCACATAATATGCATGCAATATATATAAATTTTGAGTTTTTAAAAATCTCTTTAAAAATATTAACATACTATGCAAATTAATCCACAGCCCTCTAAATATAATGTATTGAGAAATGACAAACTATTTGAAAGCTTAATGGTATGTTTTAGCTATAAAAATTCTGACAAGATGAGGATTACTATTTTTTCCCCAACATCAACTTCTCTAATTTCCCACTTGTTTCATTATTAAGTTTAAGGGAGTATATTCTACTATTGTACTAGTTATTGAACATGTCAGATCAAAAGGGAAATTTGCATTTAATATAATAACTGTACTATTCTTCATTCTACTAAAAAGAATGAAAGAAACAGGTAAGATAAAACTAAATCCAAAGCAAAGGGGCTAGGAACCTTACATTATGCTTGAGTGGGTTTTATTTATTCCTTAATATATTTAATAAAGTCAGTGAAATATACATATACAGATTATTATGCATTTTAGCAGGACTTTAAACTATTCAAAACATATCAAATGGTCATTTCCATAAAAGTAACATAAAATATATCATGGTTTTGTGGTACCCAGAATACTGCTTCACATCCAAAAGTTAATTTTACAGAGCTTTCATTCCCAATAATACATATGAAAAGCATCTACAAAAACAATTAGACGTAGTAAAATGGAATAGATAAGGCCCAACTCTTTGATAGAGTCTAGGTCAAAAACCTGACATACTTATGTTTCCATCCAACTATCTTTTACTTTAAATATTTAAAGTTCATGCAATAAATTCCTCAAACGTCTCCTCCACTTTGTAATACATATAATTTCTTTCAAAGCATCCACAACACAAACACCCAAATTCTTTAATATCAAGTCAGTATGTTCTTTAAGTGTGATTAAAAGAAAATACCTAATGCTTGGATTCTCTAAGTAACAACAAGAAGAATGAAAATCTATTACCTTTTCTATAGGGTAATGGATGTTATTTACTAGTCACAAAAAAGGAAAATTTTAAATTAATTTAGCCGAGATTACTCAACTTTATTAATAACTTAGGAATAAGATGCACTTACTAATATATCTAATTATTTATTAGATATATAAGCTCACTAAATTTCCTTGTATCCAGCTATAGAATTCCTAAGGATTTTGTCATTTTAATTACATCCCCAATTAGCAGGCAGAATGAAATAAAAAAAAAGGCTGCAAGGCCTCAAAGTTTTTATTGTTGCAATTATCAAGACATTCACATATAACAAGCAATCAAGAGGGCCAAGGAAAATGAATTTTTTCTAATACAACGATGGCACATTAACTTTTGTGCAAGATGCTAAAAATTAAAACAATCCCAGTGGTTCTTTGAAATTATTCTTTCAAGACCTAATTTTCCAAATCTACACCCAAACAGGAATAAAAAAGGCTGACCTTGCCAGCCATCTATAAATTCTCAAGAGAACCCTTGTGTGCGTGTTAATGTGTATATGGGCAATATAATTTTAAAAACATACTCAAAGTTAAATTTATTATATTAATGTCTCATATAACACGGAAAAATGGGGGGAAAAAGAATGCACTTGAGTCTAAAAGCCACTTTTGCTGGCACTTACATTAGGTTAGAAGCAGCACTTCTAAGCCTTCAAGAAAATCAGCCTCCACCCAAAATGCAAAGTAAATCCTATGCATCCTCTCTTTCAGTATTTCTTCCTACAGCCCACACATAAATTATGAAATGTCACAATTTGCTGTTTTACAGGAGAAATTTTTCAAAAAAGTGAAAATCTAAGGTAATTCACTGTGTGCACACTTTTCTAATAGAGAAGCCTAACATTTCCTACGTGACTAATCTATTTTAAATTCCGTTCCTCTGTTCCTATGCAATCTAATGCTATCTATTAAAACTGCCAAAATATTTTTAAACAAGATCTGTGAATTTCCCTCTCAGGTTTTGATCTTTGCACTCCTTCAGTTTGCAGACACGTCACTGGCAAACCAGTTGGTAGTGACAGGTTACTCAAAATCGACTCTCTCGGATTAAATTTTAAATTGACAGCTACCCCCAAATTTTTCATGCCTCCCGGATCTCACGTTGTGAGGGATAAGTATATGTAAGTAAAGGATTACTTTTGATCACCGCTGCAAAACTTCACCTACGGAACCTCTAAATGCCTATTTCGATTCAATTATCCTTTTCCCCAGATCCTACATTTAAGCTTACTGAAGTGCCGTTTTCTCTCTTATAAGCCTTGTGAACCCTGAGGTTGAAGACTATTAACATTTGATAGTACTTGCAATGTTTCTCCATGAATAAGGTCACACACTTCTGCATCCAAGGGTTTTATGTCCCACATGTGTTTGCAAATTCCACACTCGGCCTTAGAGCACAAGAAGTCTCTCTTCCTTGCGCCTAGGTGCCAAGTTTCTGTAAGCCACTTCCAAGCAAAACTCTCCTTCCGCTTTTAAAAAGAAAAGTACATTCGTAAGAAGAGGACAACCAGGACGAAAATTAAAATTGTAAGGGCAACACTTTCATAAAGTAAACAAACCAAGAAGATTCTGCCCCTGGGGAAGGTGGCTGCAAAACTGGAGCTGGCGAGCGCCCAAGACGCACAATACACCACTCAACCCCACGACTGCTTCGCGGCCCGCGCGACGACCCCAGACTGGTGAGAATGGACCCGGCACTCCCAGTTTCCTCCGAGGGAAAACGCACAAGTCAGGCCCACTGCCTTGCTCGCCCTCTTCTCGTGCCCCAGCGCACCGGATTTCTCCGGGAATCGCCCATAGGAGTCCGATGCCGCCCTCTCCTTCCGGCAGCGGCCGCACGGGGCCAATTCCCCTGGACGCCCGCCCCCAAATGCCTGCGCGGCCGGGCGACTCCGCAGCCCCAAGTTCGGCAGGGGCCGCACCGGCGCGAACGCGTCCCGCGCTCGGCGGACACTGAGTTGGTACGTACTCGGCCAGCGGCTGCAGCGGGGTTGGCACGCTCTTCCCAAAGACTGCTCAGCCCCAACTCCGAAGTGACGGCCCCCGGCGCTCCCTCCTCAGGCGGCTGCGGCGGCCGGGGCGCCCCCGCTCCCATAGAGTGGGGGAAGGAGCGGCTGTGGGCGCGCTTCCCCCTACTCCCCCACCCGCAACTCGGGCGCGCCGCTTCTTCCCGCCCGCCAGCACCGACGGCGCTCGCCCGGCCGCGTGGGCGGCAGCTGCGGCTCCTCCAGGCTCGGGCGCGCGGGCGGCGGTGGCACCTCCCCCGCCGTGTGCTCCCCTCCCCCTCCTCCCCCGCCCCGCGCGCTCAGCACCCTCCCCTCCCGGGCCGCCTCCGCCGCCTCCGCCCCCCGCACGCTGTCACATGGGGAGATTCCGCTCTTGCTACATTCGCCGCTGCGGCGCCCGCCCCCGCGCGGCCGAGTGACGCAGATCCCGGCGTGGGCCGCTGCGGGGCGGGGGCGGCCGCCGCCGGGCCCGGGCTCGGCCTCCTTCCGCCGCCCCCGCCCCGGAATCCGGAGGGCGGCCCATTCACACGGCAGCTGGGAAGGACCGAGCGGCCTCGGGTGTGGGCGGCTCCCAAGAGTCCCGCTGCCAGAGGGAGGAGGGGGCAGGGAAAGGGGGTGGCGGGCCGGAGGGAGGGGACGCCGCCTCGGGCCTGCTCTCCCGCTGCCGAGTGAACCAGGGAGGTTTGCAATTAAAAAAAAATTTTTTTTAACGTGTAATGTTCCCAATATAGTATTTCAAAGCGAACACCCCGCGAAATCTAACATTCCCCTGGGATACTGACTTCAAAAATACCGAGCGTGAGCGGGCGCCGGGCTCGCCCCCGCCCCGCCTCCAGGCCCGATGGCGGACCAGGTGCTCCCCTCGCAGGGCGGTCGGAGGCTCCCTGCGGGAAGCTGGCTACGACCGCACGGGGGCGGGGCGGCGGCAGGTGCGCGGCCCCGAGGGAGGCTGCAGCGTCGGTAAACTCTCTGCCTCTCCCATCTTGAGTCTCCCACCACCACCGGGCGTTGGGAGTGGTGGGAGGAGGGGAGGAGTGGGAAGCAACGAACCCGAAGTGAAGCTCTGACTACCGTCTTGCCTGCTGGGTAACATTGTCAGCCTTCTCAATCCTCCTGAAAACCTGCCTGTTAATATTTTCCATTCCATGGTGCACAGATCCGACGGCGCTAGAACAGTCCTGGGGTGTGTGAGTTCTCCGGGCATGCTGTAGAATTCTCGAATTTGGTTTGCAAACTTTTGTAACCAAAGCAAGCATTAAAACGTTTCCAAAAATGTAAAACTATTGCCAAAAAATCTTAAAAACTTTAGAATCTTATTTTTCATTCCTTTGCAAAAACGGGTAAATGAGAAAATTCCCGGAATCTTAGCATTATGCTCTTGGAGGGTAAGCGTTTAGTAAATATAAAATTGCAAATACAGGTAAAATCCCACTTTAACATGTAAAGATTTAGTTTTATAAAAGGCCATTCCCACATCCTGGCTGGCCTCCCAGAGGGTGCCTACTTTGTTGATGGGTATACAAGGCATTCTTTGAGATGGGAAATTCTTCATACCACATCTTTGTTGCAGCAATGGATGGGATGGTAACATTGAAAGAAAAAGACCTTGTTAAAAGTACTGAATTTTTTTTTTTTGGCAAAAACATGCTATAAGAAAGAGTAATACCACAATGGAATATATATGATTAAACCTCTGATGCAGTCTTAGTGAAAGGATCTGTCTAGAGTAGTTATGTTAATACTGCAAATGAATGGGCATGCTTACTTTCTTGAATTCTTCCACTAAAGAAATAACTCCTAGAAATGGGTCTTAGCCTAATTGTCATGGTTTTGCAACCGCGGACCCTGTTCTGAAGTGAAAGTTAACTTAGGTTGTTGTAAAGACAATTCCTTGGAAAGGTACATGTCAACAAATTTTCAAACAGTGAAACCTGCAGAATTCTTCTCTTCTAGTTCCTCTGTGGAATCCCAATATTTTGCAAATGTTGGTTCTGAACAGCTAGAGAAATACAACTTTCTTCCATAAAGACGTACAGTCAGTGATTCACAAGTCATTAAATGAGTGAGTAGTCTTAACCTGAACTATTGAGATTCCCAATAGAATTGTTTCCAGGGTCGAAGAAACATTAAAGCCTCTTCCTGAACTTATGTATGTCCAGCCAGCACTGAACAGGATGCTGAAGAGGAAATGTGTCAGGGCAGATACTACCTCTTCTGACTTGTAGCTGGTTAGAATAGTCCTCCCTTATATCTGTGGAGGATACCTTCCAAGACCCCCCGTGGATGCCTGAAACTAGATAGTACCAAACCCTATATATACTTTTTTCTCATATATAGATATGACATATCTATATATGAGAAAGTTTAATTTATAAATTAGGCACAATAAGAGATTAACACCAGTAAATAAGAATAAAATATAGCAGTTATAACAATACACTGTAATAAAACTTAAGTGAATGTTTCCCTCTCAAAATATCTTATTTTCCTGTACTCACCCTTCTTCTTGTGATGATGTGAAGTGATAAAATGCCTAAGTAATGAGATGAAGTCAGGTGAATGATGTAGGCATTTCGATTTAGCATATGGCTACTATTGATGTGACTATGTTAGGAGGATCATCTGATTCCAGACCAAGGTTGTCTGCAGGTAACTGAAACCACAAAAGCAAAACCTCAGATGAAGGGGGACTACTCTATGTCTGTAGTTAAACACTGCATCTCTCCTTTGTTTTATGGGCATATTTAAATAGTATATTCTTCCCATATTTAGAATGGCATTTTTGGCCCACTTTGCATTGCTTTAAACACCCTGTGGTGCTGGGAGTAGTGGTGGGAGAAAGGAAGATGAAGGAAAGAAAATTTTAAACTTTGAGGCATCCAATGTTGTATTCTCTGTGACAACACTGTAGTCAATATGCTGCTCATAAAGAGAATGAAGGCTTTCACCTGTATCTGAGACAACTTAGATGAAGAAGCACTCATTCTTATTTAGCTCCTTGCCACTTAGTTCACCCACCACTCCTAAATACTGCCTTACCCACCTCCTTCAACACACACAGTGTTCTCCCACTCCCAGGCCCTACGGGTTTTTTAAGGGAAAGCATTCCATGTAAGGTAACAGTTACAGTTTCTAATTATTCCATATTCCATTCCACCTTGTAAGCATGTCTTACACTTCTCAGTTCCATAAATATATGTGTAACTCAATCTAAAAAAGTTATTAAAAACACTTCAGTGTAGTGCATTTGCAAAAGTAAGGAATTCTTTGGACAAAAAAAAGTGTCTACATTGTAAAACTAAAAGGTTTTTAATAAAAAAAAATTGTAGAAAGTTGGTAGTGGTTCTGACCTTTGAGTGAAAATTTCACTAGAAGAGCATTAATGTATTACTTTCAGAAAGTTTCTTTAAAATGCATCAGTGATTCAAAACATGAACACATAATAGATGTAAAATGTTCTTAGAGCAGAGAATGAATACAGTATAACTATGACCTACAATATCTAAGATAGAATATTCTATCTTCCTGTTCCAGTAGTTCCTTAGAACAATTCTAAATTTAATGAATTTTCCTCTCTATGTGGTTGTGGCCCTACAATTAACTGAGTCATGTGCAATATTCCTATTACAGAAATATAATTAAAATTTACCTTATTTTGGAATAATGCATGTCTTTGGGTATAATAGATTAAGTGGGTTTTTAAGTATATGGAGATTTGAATATTTAAAAATATACAGAGGTTATAAACAAGTTTCTTAAAGGTAACTTAATAGGAATATATATATATATAAAATGACTGATCATTTCAGGAACCATGACTCTAAAAATACTTGCTCTTCTAAAAAGTAAGCAAATCTTCATACATTGCATTTTAATACAAAACACTAGAATTTTAGGATGTAAAGGATTATGAAGTTCACCTACTTCAACCTCCTTTGTATATTCAAAGTATATTCAAATACTTCACAGAAATTCAATGTACAACTAGTTGACTTTCCAATAGGTTGTAAGTTGGTTATTTTTTATTTGTATGGCAATCCTGGTTGGGGAAAAAAAAAAAGAAATGAGATTTCCAGGCAGGGCTGCAAATGCTTATAAAAATGCAATGAAATACAGAATTAACACATTTTGGGGGGAGTAGATAGGCTCTTAGAAGTCATCTAATTCCAATTGACTTCCACAGATGAGGAGGTTTGTACTATCCATTGCTAATAATGTAAAAATTAGAAAAACACTAATATAATATTAAACAGCAAATACAACCAAACATTTAATTGAGTTGAAGAGCGATTCTCATTTTATTTTAAAAGTTCGTGTTTAAGATGGGTGAGAATGTAAAGAGCAACTTTTGAAAGACTTTCTAAAGAGAATTTCTGGATATTTTTTAAGGCTTAGAGCCTTGTTTTTCTCTCTTCTATTCTTTCTCTGGCAGCAGTGATTACAACTCAGCTACTCTTTCTTTTCTCTTCCCCCATTTTTCTTTTTCTCTGGCATTCACTGTGTAGGCATTGAACAGTTAACTGTTCTGTAACACTGTTTCAAGTTCCAACAACACTGGGGACTGTCCACTCCTTCCTGGCTATTGTGGACTGAATTACTGTGTTCTCCCAAAATTCATATGTTGAAATACTAACCCCCAGTGTGATGGTATCAGGTGGGCCTTCCGGGGATGATTTGGTCATAAGCATGAAGCCCTCCTGAATGGGACTGGTTATGAGACCAGAAGAGCTTCCTTCTGACATGTAAGGACAAAGCAAGAAGATGGCCACATAGTGAGCCAGGACGCGGCCCCTCACCAGCCATCAAATTACCTGCCAGTGCTTTGATTCTGGACTTCTCAGGCTCCAAACTGTGAAAAATAAATGATTGTTGTTGAAGCCACTGAGTCCATGATATTTTTGTTATAGCAACCTGAATGGACTAAGACCTGGCCATTAATAATTCTCAAGGGAGGGTGCAGTGTAGGTAAAAAATTGTCTGCTCACAGTCTCTGAAATTTTTCCAAACCATCTTCCATTTGCAAACTTTACTCTCAGCTTTCTTATTGCTCACAATCACATGTTTGGCTCCACCCAGATTGTTGAAATTGACAGCAGGTCTGTACTCACTGTCTGAACTTGTCTCTCCAAGTCTATATTCTTCAGGCAAAGGACATCACTAGCTAGAGTATCCCTTTGAGCATTCCACATGAGGGTGATGGAAGATTTTGTTACCTTGACAAAGATGTGTTACTTTGTCAACCAACCTATGGGGCTTTTGTA